ATCACCATGCACCTCTTTCAGCTGAAGACATCCGGCCAAGCTTCACAAAAGCAACCAATTACGAGAGCTTAGCAAGAGACTTTGAGGTTATAAGGCATCTTCTTAAACAGCTTTTGTTTAACTAAAAAGGATCCTGTTTCCATCTCATTTAGAATTGCTTGATAAATTATTTAATGAGCATTTTTCTTGTCTCCACAGGTTGTTGTCCTCAGCTAACCTATAAATGAGCGTTGATTAAAACAAAAGGACCATCATCTCTATACTGTCTGCTTACAAATAATTTTTTGAGCATGTTCTGTTCAAAATAATGATTGCAATTGTGTGAATTGATTTGTTACAGGCATTTATATTTGTTTGTTTTTTTGTTTTGCTCCAAAATATTAGATGTGGGTGTAACCAGGTTACAGCTGTAACCAGGTTATCCAGGGAATAGTGCCTAATGCAGGCGGGTTGTTGGATCCTTGCTACCAGCTTGCAGGACTCCAGATGTGTGTTCTGGAATCCCTCCCATGGTTTTTTCTAAGCTGCCAGTCCTTAGGGGGACCTGCTAGACATCACTGCAGCCTGGCAGCTTAGACACTGTGATGAAGACACTGTCTGGGAGTCCCCCATTGGGCTTTATGGGAGTTGTAGTTCTTAAGCCAACACTAAATCTGTGACCAATTATAGCACGTTTTATACCCGGCTTCCCTGTGATTGAAGTTAACCTGTCTGTTTTGGCAGGCACTGTTAAGTATTAGCTAATACATGGCAGGGTTAAGTATTATTTTTGTAACTTAACCATGTTTTTTCTTTTTCAATAAGACTTTGGCCTCATCTGTATTTTATCCAGAACTTTCTATATTTGGCTTGTTGGTTAACTAGTGGGGTTAGACCACAAGAACAAAAAGTTTATGGACTTAATTAGAACTTGGTATTTATATCCATAAAATCTCCCTGGACCTCATCAGCAACATCCTCTTAGGGCTTCAGTGTTTCCTCAATGATACCACTTGTTCATCTGGGGTGGTCTGTTAAGTAGAAAAACACCATAGCTTGAACGTCTAAGAGAAATGCAGAACAAGTGTTGCCTAAGGGGAATGGATATACAGTATCATGTGTACTGTCCTCATCTAGCTCAGACTTTGTGATCTCTGGCTCTTAATAATGCCTCCTGAAGTTAATCTTCTTACCTGAATGGGATATTGATAACCTTGCACTTTATACTACAATAAGCCATTTAGCATAACAAGGACATTTATTTACTGTGTCTGCTTCGTACCCCTTTAGTATTATTTTCCTTTCTAATAGTTACAGAACCACAATTTTGCAAAAGTGTTGAGTACTAGATATTTCACTGATATACTGTACACACCTAGTCCTGGAGGGCGCTGTATCTTTATTCCAGGCCTTTGTTTAATGATGAGTGGTACTTAGAAAATCTGGTGACCTGCAAGTTCTCTAGAGGCAGGAGAGAATGCCCCAGAAATAGTTGCTATTTACATTTTGGAGCAATGATTTGCGTTCTGGGCTCATAACTAGAATGTTGTGGGTTCAATTCCCAGGTGAGATGTTGCTCTTATACCCTTGAACAAGGTACAGTACTTCACCCAAGTTTGTCAGTAAATTTCACAGATGCATAAATGAGTGCTGATATAAGTCATATTGGGTAAAAGTGTCAACCAAAGAATTGTGGGAGTTTGGAACAAGCTTCCCAGCCATGTTGTTTAAGCTGTTACCCGGGTGTTTTTCATGAAACTGCTGGATAAGTTACAAATGATTTGACCTCAAGTTTCGTTTTCTGACTACAAAGTGTCTACTTAGAATGGAAGTTTTTAGTTAACAAGATAAGTTACAAGCAGTGACTGATCACTTAGCCCTTTTACCCTAATTGGTCAGTAGCTAACTGATCCAAGGATTTCATCAAGCTGTTTCTTGAAAGACCCAGGGTATCGACTTCATAAATACAGTTGGGTATCGTATGCCTACAACCATTTAGTTACAGGTGTGCCTCCAGGTCTTGGTTATGTGTAGTTTCCTGTTGTTTATACATGTATCAGGTCTTCTTTTAGTGTTTGCTTTTCAGAAACAATGCGAACACTCGGTTTACACGAGCATAATAGGGTGACTGTGCTTTATCACCTCTTTACCCTACCAGCACAACTCTGCGAAGTTGATGCAATGGATGGAGACATTCTAAATCAAGTACAATTGAGTTATTTTGTGAATATCCAGGCATTTCATTTTAATAGAGATTAAAAGTAAATCCTGTCTAGCATGAACATGAAGAGACTTTTGTTTCAAGGAATTGTAATAATTTAACAAAAGTATATACACCAAACAGTTAAAGTAAATGGGATTCCTGAGTGCTAGTCGTAGATTTGAATTACACTATTAATCATTTTGGAATCTCCGTAATGCTCTTTTTAGTGTCCTAAGATCTGCCAGATGAACTCACCGCTGTCCAGTCATGCTGAACAGAATCTGAAAGAAGATGCTAAATGGTAAAACATTTTCTTTCCAAGAAGAAAGAAGTGTAAGGAATTGTAATCGTCATCTCATTTGATTTATCCATAGGTTTTTTGTCTTAGGGTTCTAAACTCTGGAGGAAATAAATTATCAGGGGAAAGGCTCTTGTGATAATTCAGTACCCATGGAAAGGTCTCTAGCAAGGCACTAGATGTTAAAGAGATCTCAACTTACACAGTTGCAGAAGAAAAACTATTACTGTTGATATGTTAGGCATTCTTCGATTTAGGGACACATATCTGCTTATTCAAGGAGTTTAATTCCATTTTGGAAACAAAAGGAAAACTACAGATTCTTGGTGGACCCTTTGCTTATAAAGTTGACCTGGTGAGGCAGAACAAAGGTATTTGAACATGTATTATAGGGTGCAGAAACCTTTTGTTGGCTCATATTCATTTGTTGATGTCCAAATTCAAAATATTTTTGTTCTAGTAAAACTTCAAATGATTTTTTGTTGTGCACGTTTTACTTAAAAAACCTTATTAGGCACTGTGCTATCTTAAGACACATTTTACTTTCTCATTGTGATTATACATCTTATTGATCTGGTTTCTCTGATAGTGTTGCATTTCTTAGTTATAGTCTAAAGCCTCTTTTTGTTCATTTGCAGTAGAAGGAACTAGAATTCTGTTACGTAGTATGTAGTATTTCTCCTACATGTACAGTAACTCACAGTATGTCCATTTTTTAGTAAACCCAGTTCAATGGTTTTAGACCCTTTTCTCAGTAAACCATGACTCTGGTAAATCAAGGTGGAGATTTTTTATTTCAGTGAAGAAAGGAGGACAAAGTTTACAGGTTAACCTCACAATTTTCTAAGGATAGCGACAGGCTTTTATTTTTGAAGATGAGCAAGATTTCCTTACAAAACATACATTTTTATGATTGGTCAATAACAGATTGTTACCTTATAAGGTGTAATCAAGGTCAGAAGGTTAAGCAGTTAGGTCAGCCTCAGGCAGTTAACCAAGATCCTAATTAACTAAGACCCCTGTTCACTTTCATGTTGCTTACTAAGCATAAGAGACATGAATTACATCTCAAGAGACCTTGAAGAAACCTAGGTCAGCTGGAAATGCTCAAAACAGTAAAACAGTTTTTGAAGGCTTAATTGTTAACTCATAACAGGCATAGGTTCCTTCAAAGGTGATGCCTGTAATGCTACTGTTTCACTGTGACAGCACTGTACATCTTTGCCTTTAACAACCTAAACTATGCAGCCTAATAGGGACACCTTCTGGCACAAGCAGCTAAACTGCACAAAGTTATTCATAGCAGAAGCTGTCTGTTTTAGTCTGTTTTTGCATTTAGTCAATCATATGTTAAGCATAGACTAATTTAAATGACGATTATTAGCATTTAGCATCTTTCCAATTGGGATTTACTCTGTTAAATATTAATTTCTTATACATACACATCTGATCTTTTACTGGATGTTGTACATATAAAAGTCCAGATATGGGAAAGGCCAACTGGACACACCTGTGCTCATTTATATTTTGGCAGAGAAAGCTGTTGGCGCTCTGGAGGGCAAATGTCTGAGATGCTGTAGCCAGACAGATCACTCTCTCCAGGCATGCTTGCCGAGTCCTGATGGAATCTCAAAAGAGCTATGTACTGTTCAATGTAGTTATCTCATTACTTCCTAAAATTCCTGTGCTTAATGGCCAGAATGGCACCTTCTGGTATACTTGTTCACCATATTCGCTGTGCCTTTTCAGTAGAAAGTTATTCACCCTCAAACCCGCTCTTCCCTTATAATTACCTCCTGGTCCCAGAAGAGATATGTGTCTTCAGTCATCGTTCCAAGTTGTGTAAGGTCATATATCTTAGCCCTTATCCATTTCATTGCATACGTCTCTGATCTGCTCATAAAATTGATTTTTCCTCATGGCCCAAGTCTTTGTCGATAGCCAGTTTAAGAATATCATTTAGGCCACAGAAGTTACCCTTGTGACTTCCTCCGGGTCAGCCCTTCCAGACTATAGCTCGATCACCACTGTGTGTTGCATTTAAATAAACAATATACAGGCCAGTTTTTCTGAAGATTGGAATTTTCCAGTGCCAATGCTTATTCCTGTCTTGCTTCCTCTGATATGTCAGCAGCTGCTGATTTTAGGACAATGAGACAGTAGAAGGATTTGGAAAGAGAAAGAGGACAGTTACGTGTATGTGTTGCAGCAGCAGCAGTACAGAAGTGACTGAACTGGCCAGTTTCTTTTGATGGGGGGGCGGGGTTGCATTTTTTATACCTTTTCCCAGTCAGTTTCTGTTCTTTTTATTTAAGAACTGAAGCTTTTGAAAACAAATATAGATCTTAACACCTTTTTTCAGTCACTTTCCCCCATCCCCAAATGTGAAATCACAAGAAACACTTCTTAATTAAAGGATTTTTCTCATGGCAGCCTCTTTCTTAAAGTACGCAGTTCCCAAGTATCATTTGGTTAATTAGGATTGTCCTTCATAACTGAATTCTTATTTCTGACACACAGGGTCTACCCAATTAAAGAAGTTCCCGTAGAGACAGAGCCACTTACTGAGTGGCTCTACCAGCGGTTTGTTGAAAAGGAGGAGCTTCTGGCCCATTTCTATGAAACAGGTCTGTAATTCCTCTTGTTTCCATTATGAATGTTCTCATTGTCAGCCTCTCTCCTGTCCAGGCCGGTTGCTAAGTGACATCTGCTGGGGGAGGCTGGGATAGAGCAGCTGCCGGCTGGCCTGCAGCTTCTCTCTTGTCAGATTCAACTGCTCTGCACAGCACAAATGGGTTTTGGCAGTTCTGCTAAAAGTGGTGCTAACTGTATAAACGACACAAGGAGGAAATTTCTCACTAACTTACAGAGCCCAGATCTGATGGATTTGTGTTGCTGTTTTTCTAGTCTTAATTAATCATTAGGTCACAGCAATTATTACAAAGTAAGTCGTAAGTAAGTCCATAAAAAACAATGCTTTTGTATAGAATACAAATGTAGTCAAATGCTCCTTGCATCGCTGTTTAATATGTCAAAAGAGTGCTGTTACCAGTTTTAAGCATCAGCAACGTGCATGTTAGCGTTGGTAATGGAAGACCAGAATTCTTTTCTCATGCCAAACCACATAGACTTCTCTTAGAGATGCACTGGAGATTTCAAGGTTGAGCCGTACTGTATGATTTGGGTCATGTTGACTGTGGCTGAGAAAAAACAGGTAACGTTAAATTATCTTTAAAGGGTGTTGGAGGTAGCTATTCATTGGACATAGATACTACCATAAAAGCTGTAAAATAAATGAATTCTATTTTCCTAGACAAATGAATACTATGGAACAAGTAATAGGTTTACTCCATGCTGAAGAAAAGAAGAGAGAGAACACAACGTTTCGGCTGTGGAGCCTTCTAGCTTCCTGAGCAGTGTTGATTAGGAATCATTTTTTATACAGAAGATCATCCATTTGAATCTGTTTAATATTTAGAGGCTTGCATATTCAATGAAGTAATAAAATATGCAAATCATTCAATCAGAAGATCAGTTATTAAAATTCTAAGAATATGTTCAAGCTTCATAAGATACAAAGTGCTTATTCATACATACAAGAATGTTTAATAATGTATTAGATAGGCACTTCTGAATGTCAGATATATGTCACATATGGGAAATCTGCTTTTAGAACAAAACAAGTAGGTTATGGCGATTTTTAATAAGTATTTTTTTTGTGTTCCTAACAGAACACTTAAATATTGCTGGTGTCTGTACTTGCTCACGATTGTTCTCCTGATAAGACAACTGACAGACAGGTTGTCACTTCCAAAACTGATACGCTTCTTACTCATTAAATTATTTAAATATGATTTAACTTTTGTAAATATGTTGTTGTTGTTGTTATTATTATTACTACTGTTATTATTATATAAAAATGAGGGGCGTACATAAACAAGTATTGGCTTTGGAGCACATTGCTGAGGTCATAAGAAGGACAATGCAGCCTACATGACACTGATCCCATAATCATTTCCAGGCCTCGAAGCTGCACTTTAATCCGTCTATGCAGTTCAAATTATTTAAGAGGGGCAATGTCCTAAGCTGCAAAGCATCCCTTGAAGAAGTTTGATAGGGGTTTTGATCTTTCTTATAAACAAAGCCCTTATAAAAAAAGGTTACTGAACTCTCTTCATTACAAAAACATCAAGAATCCTTTTCCAGGCAGAGAGCAATTACAGAACTAGACTAACTTGAATAATTTGTCAAAAGGAGATGCAATTCCAGGAATACAAAGTCTAAGGCTTAGGATAAACAATTGCCAAAACAGTTTAAGTAATTAGGGGCAATTATTTCATTTTTAACCTACATTTATGAATTAAATGCTCATTTAGTGATTAGAAATGTTCTGCTGACCAAATTACTGTCGTGCTAAACATGGTGAAAAGATGTCTGACATACTTTGTGTGTTATTTGAATAAATAACATTTGTATGGTATTCAAATACAGTGTCTGTATTGTATTGTGTTTGCATTGGGCATATTATTGTAGTAAAGGAACAAGTAATAGGTTTATTCCATGCTGAAAAGAGAAGAAAGAAAACAAAGTTTCGGCCATGGAGCCTTCTGAAGAAGTCTCCACGGCTGAAACGTTGTGTTTTCTTTCTTCTCTTTTCAGCATGGAATAAACCTATTACTTGTTCCTTTTCAGCCTACACATGCTGACGCAGCTACCCACCTGAACATATTATTGTAGTATATTGCTTCTGATTTCATGAGTTTTGTGGAAGTGACGTGAATCTCAGAGATACAAGTTAAATATCTTCTTATTGTCATTAGGGAAATAAAAGATAACCCAGCAAAATCTACTATCTCTTGAATTAATTTGAACAAGAATGTGACACTTGCTGCCAAATAACATTAATGTGCATGGGCTGTTTCCATTTGTCTTATTATTTGTCACCACATTTGTCATAACAACAAATATAAAGAGCCACACTCATCTTTCCAGGTAAAATATTAGGATTTTTTTTGTTAATCGGGAACAATTTCATGTCCTGTCCTGGTGATAGGTTGTGTATGCTTAAACTGAAAAGTGTTAATAACTAATTGTTTTGAAGCAGGAGGAGTGTGTGCCCAGATGATTTTGCTCCTTTTACATATTTTTACTGATTGGGGAACTATTACCTTCAATATTAGTGATTCTATATTTTTTTTTTCTCTTTCCAGGGGCATTCCCACCACCAAAAGGCCAAAAGCAAGCAGTTTCCAAGGAGATGACTCTTGACCCTGTGTGGCTTTTTACTATACAATCATTTGCTTTTGTCTCTGCCTACATGTGGTACAACATCCTTCAGTATTTTTACTGCTGTGTGTTTTAATCAAATTTAATAAGAAAATAATGGACCTTTTAGTCACCTGGACATATGGCCCAAGCATCATACTATTTGTGTGTGAATGTAGATTTGCTAAGATGAGAGTATAAAACAAGGAAAATATAGAATATTAAAAGGATTTTCCCCCATACGCACTCATACAGACACCTTTGTTTAAATTTTAAAAAGGCTCAGGACGTAAACTGAAAAACGATCTGGATTCTTCTTAATTCCTCGTTTTGATGTCCACAGCAGAAACCTCCAGTGGAAGGAGGTTGAATTTTGACCAGAGTGTTGCCCACTGGGAAACAGAGGAGGCTGTCGCGGTTCTAGGAAAAAAAAATGTTTTGCTTTCCCTTCTCATGGTTGCACGAGGCTTTTCTTCAATATGTTGTGAGCCACGCTTACAGAGAAGCTGTCCAGTCCTGAGGCTTTATAAGCTGGGGAAGGGCTACTACTGCCCTGTCTGGTGGAATTCTGGAGAAGGGCGGGAGCAGGAGATTTCTCACCTGTTCGTTTCCTTTGTTGCACTTCGGATTCAAACTGCTCCAAGCCGTGGAAATAGCCTTCAGCGTCCTGGTCAGCAGTTTCACAACATTACTTAATATTATCACAATTACTACTGTTCAATCATATCTTAACCAACAGATCATCTTTGGAAGTCTTTGGTGTTCTTGTTTACACCTGTCATCCTGGTGAGAGAAACATGAGTTAATTTCTGTATGTCCGATTCTGCTGAAGAGGTCCTGGAGAGAGGTGGACGTGGGTGGGTGTGGGAATGGAAAATGTAAAGTCTGCTACGCCAGTCACTTCTGGTTGGGCTGGGCCTACACCTTTACAAAAATAATGACATAGAGAGGGCTGAAGCTTTTTTTTTATCCCAGCCCAATGCCAGCAAAAACGAGCCCGGCTATCTGACTGAAAAATGCAATTGCGTCAAGTGGAGTTCACAGCAACTGGGAAAGATCACCCCAGCCTCCAAGCACCCATTCCACTGATGCTCTCGCAGTGCTGAAGTCTTCATACATCACCTAGAGCCACTGTTTATCTCGGATTTCTGATATTTAAGCCATATTCTGAGTAGGTGGACAAAAAGAAAAAGTTAAACTATTTTTAATGAAAGAAGTACCAAAATGTGTTGAACCCTGTTCATTAAGAAACCTTTTTTTGTGAATTCAACTGCAGATGGACAGATCTATAGGTCTTATTACTGTGCGTAAACAGCATAACCATCTGACGTGTGTGTGATTCCCTTTTTTCCTTTTTTAAAACATGTTCACAGCTAAGTTTCTCTCATGTGAAAGTATAGTAAAAAATGCACAATTAGGTGTTTTAAGACTTTTTTTATTTGAAATATTGTCTTTGAGTGATCATATGTTCAGTCCAATGTCTAAAAGGCTGAGTAGAAAATTTACAGCATTGTTTTTTTTCTGTATCTGTGAGGTTTCAGTTTTCAATATCATGAAATGAATGCGTGTTTAACCGTTCGGCCCTGCAGCTGAACTGAATTATGGGAGTTGAGTTTCCAGAAATCCCTTAACCGTTTAATCCAGTCCGATCATGACGACGCTTCTCCAAGCCCTGCTTTACAGCCAGTGGGCACATGTCCAGAAGGACAGCTCAGCGAGTGGCGGAGTGGGCTGTCTGACTGATGTTCTTGGTCATTTCAGTGCATTGAATTCACAAGTGGGAGAGGATGCTGGTCCCCCACTTGAGTGATTTACACAACTACTGTATACGTAGTGTAGAGCACTAAACAGAACAGATGCTTCCTTCAGTACGATAGAGGTTCTAGAAATACCGTAGGCACTAAAACAAGTTTAACAGAGCAGGCAGTCATTTTTTACCTCTGACCTCCTCTTGCTAGTTATCAGTAACGAGGATAGACTGTTGGTAGCAAAGCTCATTGACATACAGCAGCCCCAGCGAACTTTCTGTAAGAGCCTTATACTGTAGTTCACTCCCTTGTAGAGAAGATGAGAAGAGATATACTTTCACTTACAGGGTTTACATAGGATTACAAAAAAGCACTTGACTTAATGCATTTTTTTTGAGCAACACAAATATAAAGGTATTATAGTCACCTTAAATAACATCTGTGTTCCCTCTTCGTGTTTTTTTTTTACTTGCCCTGTTTGTATTCATACTCGGGAAGCTTTTTTTCCCATAAACAGTGAATCTGTCTGAAGCAATGCATTTCAAATACCATAAAGAAGAACAAAGACTGTTCTAATGTATCATTTTCACACTGGCTAGCATCATCTATTTGTAAATGCCAGAGCAGAGGAGATGTCTTGCAGGCTTTGTGCTGTTCTTGGAATATTTGGTTTTCAGATGGATTCAATGCATCTTTGTAATTCTTCCAAAGATGAATTCCAAAATATGCAGTGTGGCACAACAACACAGAAGTTGAAAATAAAAATGTGATTGAAGAAGAGGAGTTATTTTTTCTTTACTTTTTTTAGATTGCCTTACTGTAAAACCTGTAAACATTACTTAGTTGTACCCACTCAATTATATGTTTACATGATACCATAATAAATCATGGGCTCTTAGATGACTCTCAAACTTGATCCCAAGGTGTGTTAGATACGTCTTAGTCTTTGCTGAGATGCAGTGGTTTACTTAGAATTTTTTATTAGTACATTTTCTCTACAATACTAAACAGTAAGTGCAGTTTACATTGCTGGTTGTCATGCCTTGAAATGCCCCCAATATTTGTATGTTGCTGTTTGTTTAGATTTATAATCCTTGTATTTTGGGTGAAAAACCTTTTGGAATAATTAATTGGGGATACATTTACATACAGTATGTCTTACCCAGGGTATACCCTCTGTTATTTGCAAACATAGGCTCTGGCTTCCCTGTGACCCTGAATTGGAAATAGTAGTTAGAAAGTGGATGAATAATTAACTGGGGAGGGGTTCTGGATAAAACCACATTTCAAAGCCTATGATTTGGGAGTTTCATTTTTCCATGCTATCTGCAATGTAGAGTCGGTGAGAAGTTTAAGCTTTACTTCACTCACAAGCCTAATTTCAAAACTTCTCAGTTTTCATTATCTGCTCCCCTTTACTAAAATACCCTTGTGTTTCTTCTTCGTTGTGCGTTTTGATAAATGTTCACTCTACTTTTTTTTCCGATGACCTTGTGTTTGAAATGACAGTCGACAGTATACAGTTAATTGTACAGATTCATGTCATACCTTACAGACTGAACACTGGCTACATTTTTAAAAAGCGTCAGGGCTGTTCTTTTGCTGCTGCTTCTGGTACGTGACAGCTCTCCCTAGACTGCATGAGACAGAAATGTAAGAGAAGGGACTCCTGGTTCAGATGAAACTGCTTTCTTCCCTAACTGGTTTACATAATGGTGTTCGGAAATACAATTAATTCACACCACTGTTGTGACTTGTGCATGTACAGTACAGTATGTACACAGAAAGATAGTTTCAGCAAAACACAAAAGGCTGTAATTGTATATGGCAGCTATCCAATAGTTATACCAACTGTGAGGTACACAGTCATCTCTGATGTTCTAAAGCAGAGATCCACTAATGCTGCTTCAGTAGTTCCAGTTGAGTATTGGTGAAAAAAAGCAATAGAAAGTGTGTGTTTGCATGTGTTACAAAGAGACAGCTTTTATAATAGTGAGTAGGTGATGGAGGAGGTTTAAAATAAAACAATATTCCCAGTGTTTGTAATAACTATTTGCTAGCAGGGTTAGTTTGTGATTTGTACATTTTATTGCATTGTTATGTGTTTCCTGCGGTCTCTATCCCTATTCATATGCTCCAGGATGGCATTCAAGTACTGTTTTGTTTGTGTTGAGAGAATGATTGCTAAAGGGTGGATATATCCAAACAGACCTACAAGCCAATGTTATACTGTTTTCAAGTTTTAAAGTGTCTTTCTTGTCTTGAAGTAATATTTAGGATATTAATGGCTTTCACACATTGGAAGAAATGAACAAATCATTTTAATTCTCAGTTTTTCCAATTGTGAATTAATTTGTTACCTGTCTTGTGTTTTCTGTAGTCATCCTCTTTTTTTTTTGGAGTGCCTGTCTTAAATTTGTCATCTTATGTGGCTTTTTCTTCATTGCCATTTTTTTTTACTAAACCTTTTACTTTTTCCTTTTCCTGTAATTCTGCAAAACAACCAAAAGACCTAACTGCACATTCACATTACAGGGACAATGCTGAGTTAAGAGATAGTGGACATGAACCTGATTTACACTGACTTGTCAAAAATGTTCAGTAAGTGAGAACTTGTACGGTGCCTTGCATAAGTTTTCATCCCCAAACACTTGTTTTGATGAATTACAAATGAGCTTTTTTATTAATAATTAAACAAATCAAACAGAACACTGTTTCAGCGTCACACTGTTACACATCAGTAAAGCCTGCAAAGACAATATGCAAATAGTATTGATTGCATAAGCCCCTAAATCAGTGTTTGTTGACAATTAGTGCTGTGAGTTTCTTTTTGAATAGGTCTCTATGAGCTTTGCACATTGACATGGGGGAATTCTGTCTATTATTCCTGGTAACCTTGCTGCAGTTCTGAGAAGTTTTTTTGAGAATTGTTGAGGGGCATTTAATACTCAAGTCTTTTCTGAAAATTCTGTTGAACAGTACTCTTGACAGACCACTCAAGGGCTGTTACTTTCCTATTGTCATACTGCTCCAGTGTGACTTTGGCCTTGTGCTTCTGGTGGCTGTCCTGCTGAACTGTGAGCCCAGTTTTAGATTCATGGACAAGTTTTCGCTCTAAAATTCGCCTGTACTTTGCAACCTCGAATTAAGCATTCCCTTCATATGATGCTGCCACCACCATGCTCCACATTTGATATGGGGCTGATTGGATGTTGAGATGGCACCAGGCATGCTTTACATTTAGACCAAGAACTTTCGTCACCTCTGACAACAAAGCCTTCTGTCCCATGTTAGTAGTATCATTTGCATGCTTTGTCGCAAACCTTTTGGCAGCAATTGCTTCATCCTTTGCCACTCACCCAAATAGGCCCGCTTTGCATTGGAATCAGAAAAACAGTATTATATGAGTGGCTGTTCCATCTCAGAGACCAGACTTTCAAATCTTTCAGTAATTCTTGGCCTTATTGTGGCCCCCATGGACAGCCATAGACCATCTCCCAGTTGCCTGGCTGCTCAGTTTGAAAAAATATCCTGACCCGGGTGGTGTCTAAGTGGTATGATACACATTTCATTTCTTACTGACTATCAGTGACCTGCACCTCTCTGCTACTTTACCCTCCAACGTCTTTTTTTGAAACCCTCATGGTCTTCGTAGTTAGTTTTTTGTATCACTGAGTTGTGGCTTAAAATTGATTATTCCAGGGTGCTCAAAGAGACAGATGTGTTTACAGAAATCAACTTAAATGCCTTTGATTCCACACACAAACCATTACACTAATTTTGTGACCTTTCAAACTGATTTTTTGCTCCTGAACTGATTCACGAGTTGCCGATGCAAAGGGGTTTAATTCTTATCCATCCATCCATTTAATTGTCACGTCTGCTCTGATAGCTAAAAAATGCAAGGAGTACTTTTGCAAGGCACTGTGAGCAAAGCAGTTTTGGAACATTAAAGAATATCTCTAAGCTTTGGCCATTAATCAAAGGTATTGGTCCGTTGTCTGGAGTTGGCTTTTAAAAAGTCATCAGAACTCTGTCAGAATCAGAAATCTTTTGCCCTGTGATTCTGAAAATGGTCCATTTTTTATTTAAGTACTGTTTTTGCATTAAAATATTCAAACCCTTGAAGATATCAGTGATACAAAGTCATCGAAAGAAGATGACTGAAAGAAAACACTGCACTGCATGAATGGGCCAATAAATTGTACCAAATGAATATGGGCCTTTAGGTCAGGAATGGCTGTCTTTGTGAAGGAGATGATGAAAATGGGCCCCATACCTTAAAATAAGGAAATGAAAATGAAATGACTTTGTTTCAGTGCTGAATTTGGTTAGATAGTGTCTCATCTTGTCCATTTTTTTTTTTTGAAAATGGAGGTAATAGTACTGGATAATCCAAAGTTCTTAAGATCTCCCTGTACTGTTATCTGTTTTTTTATAAGCCATTCAATTCAACTTTCGGATAGGAAAGCTGTCCTTTCCCATTTTCTGAGTACTAATTTGTAGACTAGCTGCAAGAATGGACAGCATCAGATTGCACCTTAACTCCGTTTTGCTAATCTATTGCAACGCATATTGACCATACCAGAAAACGCTCAGGAACTGGACAGATATACAGTAAGTATTTGATCAGGATTTGTCTTGTCTTGTCTTGAGCTGGTATTGCAGCTGTCCCTTTGTGACTCAAGTGTTCTTTTTCTAGGATAAAGTGGGGAACTATATACTGTTCGTGTGCAAGCTACAGAGGAAAAAGTGAAAGTTAATTCCATGTTGACAAGTTAAAAAATGCAACCATTTCAGTCAAGCTCCAAAACATGAAAATATGTATTTCTTCTTTTATTTTACTGTTGAGAATGGAATCAACCACTTCAAGATTTTTTTTTTAGTAGTAGAAGCACAGTTTTGTATAAGAGCCCCACAATATTGTACCACTATATTTGAAAATGAAGCAGGGTTAAGAAGGTATGTAAATTGTCTTGAATGTCTATGCAAGGGGCTTGTTCCTCCACCGAGAGGCGAATGAAGCCTGCGCAGAGAATTACCCAGCAGCTCCAGCTGTAAAGCTACACAGACCATCAAGTGATAAGGGGGGAGTTTGAAAAACACATCTCCAGTACTGCACTGGCCATCTCTAATTGTTTAAGGTATTCTCATTTTCTCATTTTGTGGAGGCAGTTTTTTTTTATATCGGTAGCAGACAGAGTGACTTAAATTTTGAATGGTGTTGCTATGTTCGTTAGCATTCAAATTGAGCATCGTGTTCATCCACATTGTGATCTTTTTCATTACCTTGCATAACAGTTCTGTAGGTAAATTAGTCTCTGTAAATGTCAGAGAAAATTATGGGCACTAGAGCTTCATATTTCTGGTCTGGTCGATTAAATCCAATACAGGTTTTCCTTAACTTTCAAAACTCTTCTGCTTGTTGTTTTCCTGCCCAAGAAAGTCTAGGGAGAAAGGCATTGAAGACTATTTAAGCTGGCTGGGTATAACACAATCCCTCTCACAGACACAAGGATAATTTTTCGGTCAGTTTCTGAAAGTGAATAAAGGAACAGTGAGTGCGCTGCAGTCTCTTATAGAAGAATTTAAGCCATAAATGCTATATTGTTGTGTTTTTTTTTTTACTAAATTGTTTTATGTGATTAAAATACTGTGTGTATATATTTCAAATAATCATTACAGTTTAGTCTTGTGACAGCAATTGACAAATGTTGGAAATAAAATCTTGGGATACCCAATCAAAAGTGTTTCATGGCAGTCTTAAAACTTTTAAAGCGTTTTAACTGTCATAAAACTCAAATGCAATTGGAAAGGGGATTCTTCAATAAAATATCTAGGAACATGATTAAAAATATGTAAACTGACATTTATTTTATGTTAAATCCTTATGTTGATACTCTAAATAAATTGCGCCTTTCTACAAAAATGTGCTGGAAGTCCTTTATTTAAGACAAATTATTAAAGCACGTTAAATTGATAATTTGTGTGGTGACGATACTTTTCACAAGCAGTGTACATACAACATTTAGGAACCTAAAAGCATAATCTCAATAACTTTTGCTAATTTTTTGGTTTAAATTGTTGCTAACTTTCATTGCATCCATCTTTATTTAGTGGTTCCTGTTTCCTGCAAAACTGAAATAAAAAAAATACACCTCAAGATGTACAGTAGTCACAGTAATTTATTTTACCCAAAATCTGACCTTCATTAAAACTGTGCTGTCACAGAAGTTTTGGGAACTGTTCCTTCAGCATTGTGATTACAGGAATTCTTCCTGATTTTGAAAGCAA